AAGGGGGGGGGGGGGGGGGGGGGGAATATATATATATTCATATTCTCAAGTTGGAGAAGACATTCAGTCTTCTCCAGCTTGACAACTCTCAGAATTCCCAGCTATAGTCCAGTGCTGGGTGAAAATTCTAGGAGCTGGGGTCTCAACGGAACTGGAGATAGCTATATTATGGAGAATAGCAGAGCAGTTTTAATTACCCACAGTGCTCCTGAAGTAGCATCATTAGGGCTTTGTGAGAAATTTAAACTCTGGGTAGTTCCAGCCTTCCACTGCTGTCAGCTAGACTGAATATGGGCTGCTGAGAAGGACACTTTGGATAATGGGTCCAGGTGCTCTCAAACTTTTGAGTTGGCCCTGCTTTCCAAACTATATTTGGGGGGCCTGCTTGCAACTAGCTTGTATCCTGCAAAGAAAACCTCAAAACGTATTTGATACACATTCCAACTTTGTACTCTAGTGGGCATTCAAGGCAACTGGTAACATGGAAAAACAAAACAAAAATGGAAAAAGTTAAACATATCAGCTAAGATTAATACTGAACTTGATTCTAAAATCAATTAACCTGAAAACGTCTTGTTAATATAAATTGATGAGCATCAGGCAATGGAGGGGTGGCTGAGCTTGAGAAATTGGAAAGGGTTAGAAATCTGTCTTGCTGTCCACTGACTTTTCACACTCAGAAGCTTACAACTTCCCTTTAGGAAATGTCAAGGAGTCTCCTGGATTAAAATCAAGATAAATGAATGGACTCTTAGGATCCCTTGAATATAGATTTCTACCTGATGAATGTGAACTGAAAATCTTTCTCCCTCAAGAGCTGTATGCCTTTCTTCTCCCACTGTGAGATTAGTCTCTAGCCTGGAGAAGAGACCTAACTCTGCCATCTTCTTGGCCTTCAGAAGTGTTTTCTAACTGACTTACAAGGTTATTTACTTATATATTATGTGTTGGTTAGATTTACAGTCTGCTTTTGCTGCAGCAGTTCAAAGCTGTGTACATGGAACTCATTCCTCATATCCTCCTTCCTCCACAATAACAACCTTGTAGAATTTTGGGCCACAGCCTCTGGGAAGAAGCTATAGTTCAGGAAGTCCTCCCAGCATCTCCCAAGTTTAGTTTTGATATATCCTGTTCTGAATGATCAGATGACCAGAAAGATCTGTCAGAAATCTTAGTAGCCAATACTGATTGACATAGCACTCGGTTAGTGTGATCTGGGGGAAGATAACTTCCTTCCAATAGTCTTTTTGGACCAGTGGAGAACACCCCAAAATCATACTACTGGAACTCAGCAACAAATAACATTTTTGGCATGCTCTCTTTTCAAAAGTGATTGTCAGAGGCAGTCCTCTCCCATTTCAACCTTTAAAATCCCTACCTGGCCTGAAATTGTGCTACTGAAGTTCAGCCATTTTGCCATGGAATTTGGGTAGCGTGATTTTCAACTGTTATTCAGGCTTTAAGTATGAGAATACATGAAAGCAAATGTAGAAGTTCAGTTTGCTGTTGAACTCTGCTGAACCACTAGAGGGTACCAAATGCCACAGAAGATCAAAACCTAGGCATGCATGCAATTGGGTCTACTGTAGAGAGCTTCGCTTGAATTTGGACAATCTCATTTTAAGAATCGTAAAAATAGTTTCTTTTCTGTTCTTAGAAGTACACTATTATTGGGTTGTTTACTGAGCTTGTTTCTCTTCTTGCAGATGTTTTACATCTACAAGAATAAAAACAGACTCAGAATACCAAGAACTTAACAATTCGTTCCAGAGCTACATGTCGTCCCCATTATCGTATGCAGTTATTTTAGAGTTCAGGCTAGTTCTGGTATATTAAGGATTGGACAAAAATAACAAGAGCCAGGATAGACCCAACTCTCAGATTTAGTTCAAAAGTCTGTATTCTTTGGCAGATGCCTAATAGGCCCTTGTCATTCTTTTCCTCTGTTTTTGATTTTTCTTTCCAGTGTAGCAGAAAGTTGGAAAGAGATTGTATAAAGAGACTTGGGACTCTGTCCATTTGTCTTTAAGTAGGATAATTGTCTAACTGAGTAGAATGGGACCAAATTTGGTAAAGGGTGAGAAATTGGTAAAAGAAATACTAGGTTTGAAAATGGGCCAGAACAAACAGGGGGGTGCAGAGGAAAAAGACCTCCAGGGTATCACTGTGATGTTGGTCAATGGTTAGAATGTTTTCTACTGGACCCTTCTAAGCTGCTCTGGACGTATGACTCAAAGCAGAGCATCTGTAGCTCCTCCTGGTGCTTTCCCACAAATGCAATGCAAGCAAAAACCCACATAGAGATGCAACACACATTACTTTGTTACACAGAAGAAAATGTAGATGCCTCCTATGGACACTGCTGGTATTGGTATTGGAAAGAAATTCAGAAGCTGTGCTCTGTATTTTCTTTCATTTATAGGGAGTTGTGATCTTGGCTGTTGACCGGAGCGATAGAACTGAAAGAGTATATTGTGCCCATTGTCCTGGAATGAGAATAAGCAGTGGTGTTTGTATATTTCTGTAGCATGAGGTTAATGATATCTGGTATACGGTCGTGGAGCAGAAATCTAAAAGGTTCATTTCTCCCCAGATAGTTCCTGTTGAATTATTAAATAACGCTTGTCTGCAGATAATCACATTGTACTAGTGGTTGGTTCAGGCATACCATAATGGTTGTATTTGACCACCTCCTTACAAATAAACCTACAAATAATTGGAAGCCTGTATTGACATGCTGTGGTTTGGATTTAAAGTTGAAGTGTTTTGAGGTAGGCACTCGTGGCACATCTGTTGGGATCTCCTTAAAGAAGCTGCATTTTTTTCCCTGGGCTTGCACAGTAGCTGGGCAATCCCAGAAAATTGCACAAGTTAAGGAGGCAGTGACACGTATCCTCTGAAGCACCTTGTTTCACCCTTTCACTGTCTTCTTAACTCAAATGCATATTTTCATGGCATCACATTGTATGAGCCCAGAGAAAGGTACAGCTGCTTTCAGGAAGTGCCAACAGTTATGATATGCATATCCACTCCACTCTGAAGCATCTTTTGGGCTTCAGATCCAATATGTATGATATAGCTTGGATTTTTTTTGAACAATGCCTAGCATTCTGCAATTTCGTGCTGACCACAGAGGAGGACAAGGTTGGGTCCAGCCCTGCACCCAACCTGGAAGCTGAAGACACTGATTTGTTAGTAGGTTAGTAAATGCTTTAAGTAAGCTGAAAGAAGAGGGAGGGGAAACATTCTGTTATCAGCCTGTTACTCACCTGTATGGAAATCCTGGTCATCTTTGGGTTCCAGATGAGTTACATAAAGGGTAGATCTGTGTAACATGCCAGACTGAGTTTGGATTTGCATATCTCTGTGCAGAGTAGACTTCCTCTTGGAAAAATAAGGGATGTCCCCTGAGGTTGTGATTTTGCTATGCATGTGAAATACCAGGAAAAGGCCACTGCTCAGTGAGAAAGCAAAGAGACTTCTAGTGCACTGTCTTTTGCAAATATAGGTAGTCCTCATTTAGCAACCACAATTGGGACCCGCAACTTGGTTGTTAAGTGAAGTGGTTTATAAACCACCATTATATTTATGATCTTACATCTGCTTTCTTTTGTTTACAGACCTGTGAAGGTCATAAAGTTACTTTTTCATCCCGGTCATAACTGCGAACAGTTGCTAAATGAGGCAGTCGCTAAATGAGTACTACCTGTAGTGCACACCTCCCAATAGCACATCTTTCTAAATGAACCAGTCTTTGCTAAGGGCTCATTTGGAAATGGCCAGTTTTACTTTTATGATCCTATTGTCTCCTGATCACCAAGCTGGGAAGCTTTTGTAAACAGGCTTGTTTTTACCTTTAGAAAATAGTGGGGTGGTGTTCTCAGATCACTGAAATTGATTGCTGGAGGTATATATTCTTGGGTTCACACATGGTGCTAAGCCAGAATGTTGATTCTGGTTTACCATGGAATGTCACTCCAGCCATTTTGTTCTATAAAGCATTATTTATGTCTTAGAGTGTTGTATGAACTGTGGATTATTTAACAAATGGTAGTTAAGTGAACTATGATTTAGAGCAATGTGCAAACACAGTCACTAGCTAGTCATTCCTGAGCTGTTGACTGGCATTTCTTTGTTTTCAGGACACTTGGATGGATGGATGGATGGATGGATGGATGGATGGATGGATGGATGGATGGATAAAACCTTTCCTGTCTAGAACTGTTTACCCCAAAGTTAGGGTTCTTTTTTAGCCCTGTTATTGGAGAGGTGAAGACTTGAGGTGGTCCTTTCTGCCTCCAAGGCATGCGTTCTGTTCTTGAGTTTGGATCCTTGAAAACTCATGAGTAATGCAATTTAAGTTACATATATGACAATGATATGTCTTTTGGGTACATACCAAAAGCAAGATGAAATGCCATTATATTTGCAAAAAGAACTGTGAAGGACATCTAAGAAGAGGGTTGTGTGGTATAATAGTTAGAATGTTTGACAACAAGGAATATCCATTATCAAATCCCCATCCAGCTGTGAAGGTCAGTTACTCAGTGATCTTCAATTGGCTAGCTGCTTACTTTCAGTGTAACCCATCTCACCGGGCTGTTATGTGAATGAAATAAGGTGAAGATTCACTTCTTGCATCTTGGAAGAAAAGCAGGAGGTAACATAAATAGGAATAGTGTGTCCAATGCTAATCAACAAGCAGAAAATATTTGCCAGTTGGTAGTATTGGGTTACCTCCTTACTCACCTGTGTGGAAATCCTGGTCATCTTTGGCTTCCAGATGAGTTACATAAGGGGTAGATCTGTGTAACATGCCAGACTGAGTTTGGATTTGCATATCTCTGTGCAGAGTAGACTTCCTCTTGGAATATTTGCAAAACACAGTGGCACAGAAACACCAAGTTGGACGGTTGCAGACTGTATATTCCTTTACAAGCAGCCACACATTTCAGTACTGTTTCCATCTCTGTTCCCTTCCTTCTCTCTCAACCTGCAGCAAATTTGGTTTTACACCAAACAGTGGAGCGCATTCATGTGGGAAAAAAATATGGTGACATCCCTCGTGGCATCTTCGTAGTGAGAGGCGAGAATGTTGTACTCCTGGGAGAAATTGTAAGTCAGCAACTTACTTTTTTTAAATAGTGTGGACTTCTGTGTGCCTCTTTGGGACATGGTGTCCTGTGGACATGTCAGAGTAGATCTTCTCTTCTACAGAAATGGCCCATCTCAGAGAATTCAGTGCTAGAGGTGTTGGTAACCCGCATGCAATGTCTTTTATTAAAGTTCAAAGCAGATGTGCTACACCCTTAAAGTATCATTTGGAACCTTTAAATCATCCTGATGTCTCCCTGAAATGAGCTAAGAATTTTCAACCCCTCCCATCCCACAAGGTCACCTTCATGCTCATCGTAATCCTCCAAGGCCAAAATCATGCAAAAAAAATGAAGTGCAGCCACTGAGCAATTTGCAGTTGGCCATCCATGAGTTTGATGGATCTGTATCCTTATCAGCAAAGCAGCTTAGTTGGACACTAACCTCAGGCAGTGGAATTATCCACTCTTCCTTTCTTGCCTCTGGGCTAAACCCAAGCATTCATGAATTTAGGAATAGATAAGCTAGTCTAACCTTCCCCATCCTTGCCAGATCTGTTGCACTTCTTGAAGTTTTCCATTGGCTGGTGGATTCTGAGAGTTGAAGTCCAACTCCTCTGGGTCAGTGTTAACAATGGCTTTATAACTGTGTTTTAATTTGTACTGTTTTAGATTTTGAATAGCTACCTTGCAGCTGCCTGCTTTATACCTTGTTTTCATTTTGCATTTCATTTGTTTTTATTATATATGTTTTTATTCAAATTGTAATTTTTTAGTAGGTCTTATGGTAAACTGCCCAGAGAACTTTGCTACTGGGCAGTTTAAATAAATAAATATGCATTCCAAATCCACTCAGTCTCATTTCTGCATTAATATGCAGTCAGGTTCAGTATCCATCATTCAGCTCTTCTTACCAGGAACACCTTACATCTGCTTTTACAAATACAATGACACTTTCTGTACAATTATGGATAAATTTGGTTTTTCGTGGTTCCAGCCTAGCAAACTTTATGCTTTAAAACATTAAACTTTTGGAAGCTATAGAGCTAAATTATCATTTGTTAGTGATACGTTACTTCTTGTATTAAAGACATATCAAGCATGAAAATTAGAAGAATCTTAGCCACTATTTGGACCAGCCTTCCCAACCTGGTGACTTACAGATGTGTTGGAAACCATAACTCAAGTGTTCTTAATTGATATTAGCTGACCTGAATGGGGATTACAGGCATTATAGGTCGATCTATCTGGAGGCCCAAGATTGGAGAAGGATTTTGATTTTTTAGGAGCTTCTTATATTTCTTTATTATAGCATAAAAAATTATCTTTGGTGCATTACTTTCTAACTGAGAATTCTGTTTGATAATGTGGAGTAGGACAAAGAGGCGCCGGACGTACCTGTATGAATTCACAGTGTTTGTGTTTTTGTGTCTCAAAGGGAGGAAGTTGCTGTATCCTTCCAGTTTCCAGCCCCAAAATATTGTTTGACTCTTTTTGTATTGCAGGATCTAGAAAAAGAAAGTGACACCCCTTTGCAGCAAGTATCAATAGAGGAGATCTTGGAAGTTCAACGGGTAGAGCAGCAAGCTAAGCAAGAATCAGAGAAGTTAAAAATGCAAGCGCTGAAGGAGCGAGGCCTCTCCATCCCAAGGGCTGATACGCTAGATGAATACTAAGTGTTCGCTTGAACTGTCTCCCCAAATTGAAGATATTGCGTACTGAAGTGCCCAAGTGATGGACAACTGTTTTTTTTTTATTATTATTGTTATTTTGGATTTTTCCCCCAAGCGCAGAAAACAGTCTAATCATCATGACGTACACTGTCGTTCCTCCTGTTTCGCAAAATCATTATTTCTGAAGACATCAGGAATGCTGATATTTTCATATAATCCAGCATGATCGGGCATCTGTAAAAGAGAATGCTGGTTTAGGACAACATTTCTTTTATCTTTTTTTTTTTTTTTATACAGTGATGACTTCTGGAAGAAGTGGGGAAGTAACACACTCTAACCTGTAAATAAAAAGTGATTCTGAGCACTGCTATGGCCAAGGCGGAAGCTCTACTGAGAATTTGCCTCTCCTCTTTCTAGTCACCAGTGCCTCTAGGGCCACACAGAAATTACCGGAGAGCACTTTTGTCTTGTGGAGACTTTAAGAGCCTCAAATAGGATGGAGAAGGTTTGACAGGAGCAGCTGAGTTGTTCTTCTCTGTGGAGTTCTTGGTGCTCTCTGAGCTTGGTGGTTTGCTTGCAGGTGTTTCATTACCCAACTAGGTAACATCATTGATGATGCTGAAATGTCTGCAAGCAAACCACCAAGCTCAGAGAGCAACAAGAATTCCAGAGTTAAATGCTGAGCTACAGATCTTTTCTCTTGCTCTGGTCTACTAAGATTTAACAGATGTAACCATAGGCAACCATAAAACAGCCATCTACCAGAAAGCAAGAAGTAAGATGGTTTCCTGCTATCTCTTCTAGTCCCCAAGAACGATCCCTATTAATTCACCTTTCCTTGGTGTTATTTTCTGGGCAACTGAGCTCACTTTCAAACAAAGAGAGGCTTCTGTTGCTTCCCTTGCTGCATCGTAAGAAGGCCCAGGAGCCCAGAGGCATTTTGTAAATAAAGGTAAATACTAGAAGTTGGCACATCACAGCAGGCCAGCTTCTCATTTGCTTTAAAGGAATGTAAAATGTCACCTGGGCCAGAGACCACAGCAAGAACAAAAAATCAACTTTATGTGATAAAATTGACACCTCCCCTTGCAGTCTGTCCCTTGATGCAGCAAGTAATGTCTGCTTGGGAGTTGTGGTTTTCAGTTTCTGAATAACAGTCCAAATTAATTTGCAGGAGTAGCCTGAGAATGAATAAGGTCCTGAGGATGCAAACTGCATTGTTCTCCTTAAGCAGTGCTCAAGCTGTGACCTACGTGGCAACTATTGATAGCAAAGGGCCTTTTGGGGTTGGGGAGTGGGAAAAAAAACTACCTCTCTTTACAGATGGTTTATGCTCCCCAAGCAGCGGGCTTGTAATGCTCTATGCTTGTCTTTCAGGGCATCTGTTTAATTTAGCGTATGCATGCTTGCCTTGAGTGCCCTCTGGATGGAACAGGAAGAGATAAATGAATAATATATGAGCTGCCAGTGCTGAGTTCTGCCTACTTCTGCTTGTGATAGTTACAAACATGCATCCTCAGGTTAAAAAAAGAAAAACCACAGGGTGAAGTCAAGCAGCCTGGGAACTTCTGATTCTGACTTGGTGTGTGTAGAAGAGATTCCCTACAGCTACAGACCTAGAGCTGCTGTTTTAACCTATAGGTCAGTGTTGTCCAAACTTGGCCACTTTAAGATGAGTAGACTTCAACTCCCAGAATTCCCCAGCCAGCATGGCTGGCTAGGGAATTCTGGGAGTTGAAGTCCACTCATCTTAAAGTGGCCAAGTTTGGACAACACTGACCTATAGGGTAGCTATAGATTTATTTGCCTTAGGGCCCAGGCAAGATCATTTTAGTTGAAACAACGTAATGATACTATATTGGACAATTCTGTGTGCAGTGGGGCAGAAATACATCCATTTCCCCAAATCCTGGTGCTTTTTTTCCCCTAGAGGCATGTAGATTTGCAAATTATGCACTTCTTCAACTTCATTTACTGCTCTGCTTCTCAAAGGAGTAAAACTCTGCCCCCCCCCATGCCTCCTTGTCATTTCAAATTAGTAGGAGCAGTGTGTTGGGGTGGGGGGAGAGTTCCTTTGTATTACTATCATTGTATTCAAGGGTTTCTGGGTGAGTTGATAAAAAGATGATAGCTCTGATTGCACAAGCAGCTCACTCATTAACCATGGTTTACTCCTTTTAACTCTTAAGGGCCCATTGAACCATCAACCCCTCACATGGGTGAGGTTTGTACAGCATGCTAAACAGGCTAGAATGTTTGGCTAGGTTGAGATTCAGCCTATTGTGGGAACACAACCATGGAGAAGATTAGCACATGGAGTACATTTCTGTAGTGGGTTGAGAGAGAAGGAGCAACTCTTAGCTTGTCACCCTCCAGATGTATTTCATATAATTCCCCTATGCCGCTTAGGCAAGAATTATAAGAGCTTATATCTGAAGGGGAGGTCTGTGAGATGCCAACATGGGAATTCTGAAAAACCTATTTTATGCATGTGTGCCCCAAAGCTTGTGGCATGATCCTGGTGAGAAGCAAGTTCATAATCAAACCTTGACCTGTCCCAAATCTAGCAAGTTACTCTCAATTCATTCCTCACAGGTTGACCTATTGCTCAAGACCTCACTGGTATCTAACCAGGGAACAACATACTTTGATAGCATTGTAGGAGGAGAGCTGTGTTAATCTATAGCAATGTTTCTCAACCACAGCAACTTTTAGCTGTGTGGACCAACTCCCAGAATTCCCCAGCCAGCCTGCTGGCTGGGGAATTCCGGGAGTTGAAGTCCACACGGCTTAAAGTTGCTGTGGTTGAGAAACACTGATCTCCGGTAGTGAAAAATTAGGAGCCTAGTAGTGCCTTTTCTGACTCATCACATTTTATTAACAGGCGTCAGCTTTTATGAGCTGCAGTTGACTTCACAATGCATAGAGTGATGAGACTGATACAGGATTGAAATTGGGAGGGGTGGGGAAGCAACAGCACTCCTCGTGAGGTTGCCTATATTGTGTCCCTAGTTCAGGGCTGGAGCAGGCATCATTCATCTGTAGCCATACTATGTAGCATTTTCCTCTTTATTCTGATGTTGTCCACTAGCAGTTTCAAGGTGTAGGAGAACTATTAGGCTTTGCCACCCGTTATCTTGGAGAGGAATCAGGACCAACCAGCAACAGAGACAGGACAGGCGTTTCCAAGGGGGACAGGAACTTTGATGCCATTATTATTTCTACTGTCTTAGAGATGTCTTAAGGTGTGGCATTTCAGTGCAACAGTGAAGGGTCCTCAGACTTAGGTGTATAAAGCAGAAATGGGAAGACCGTTCCATGCAAAAGCGTGATTGAAATCAACATTATGGGTTGTTAGGGTGTTATGAACTTGGGGGGGGGTGTTTAACCAGTAGAGAGCCAACCTCTGCTTGACCATATGGCCAAGCAAAG